CTGTTTTCTACAGAAGAGTTGGTCTCATAACAACAACTCTGCCACTACCAGAAGGAGAATTACACCTTGTCATGTTTACATAAAAATGCAGATTCAGATGCCACGATCAGACATGCTGACACAGCAGGCTTGGGGGAGGCACAAGAACCTACAACTTTAGAAGTACTGTTGTTGACTCCACTAATCACACACTGAAAAAAACACTTTTTCACAGCATTCCTGAATCATTCAGTCTCTGTTCAAATACTTCCCATCACATTTATTCATTATGCACATAATCACAGAAAATCTAGCCTATATTTACTTACCAGGAAAAACGACAACAAAAAAACCCGAACTCAAAATTAGTGTTAGCAATACTGTAAAACTCTCACGTTCAACATGGAGGAGGCTGCATAAGCTCAGACTCAATGCACTGGTTTGTATGTTGCATCACGGAGCCATGGGAATGGCAGTCAAATTTCCTAACAGCTTGAAATCAAAGCAATCAGATTAAGATAAAGTGGGTTTGTCCTTTAGCAGATAGAGGCCTGTATATGTGTAAGAGGTTTCTTCAAAAAGTTAATAAACTTAAAGAAGGGAAATTTTTTTCTCCCCATGGCAGAGAAAAAAATAAGTAAAATTAAAATTAAAAAGGAAAAAGGAAAAAGACCAAGCCAGGTCACATAGATAGGGTTTGAAAAAGTCCAGAAACTAGAATTCTGGTTATGTCTTACAGTACTAGACTTCCTCAAGGAAGTTCCTCAAGGACAAACTATACCAACATTTTTTACTACTATAAGCTCAGTACTGGCATAGTGCCTGGTCAATACATATTTGCTAAATGAGTAAAAAAAGAAATTTTCTGGGGCCAGGAGGTTACGAAGTGAGTGACCTGGGTCAAAAGGAATGAGGCCTCAGAGAGAACAGCCTCTCCTAATAGAACTCTTATCAGGAGGCCAGGCATGGTGGCTCACGCCTGTAATCCCAGCACTCTGGGAGGCCAAGGCAGGTGGATCAGGAGGTCAGGAGATCGAGACCATCCTGGCTAACACAGTGAAACCCTGTCTCTATTTAAAATACAAAAAATTAGCCGGGCACGGTGGCGGGTGTCTGTAGTCCCAGTTACTCGGGAGGCTGAGGCAGGAGAATGGCGTGAACCCGGGAGGCGGAGCTTGCAGTGAGCTGAGATCGCGCCACTGCACTCCAGCCTGGGCGAAAG